AAGAGGAAATTATGCCTTCAAGAAAGTCTAGAAAAGATCCCAAGCCAGAATCCCTCCAAGACAAAGAAGCTGAAAAAAGAGGAAATTAAAACAGAACCCAACACAGAAGATAATGGAAATTCACAATCCCTTGATTTTGCCATAATTTCAGGTACAAAGAGGGAGAATGATGAATTGTTCAATGTTAAGGATTGGGATTATTTGAGAGAAAACCAAGAAGTCAAAACTACAAGTTGTGATCCAACATTGCCTATCAAATTTCACCAAGACAAAATATTCCACATTCTGAAGGGCTGTCTTTTGACTCACCAAACACCCAAAGAAACTTTCTTTATTCCAAGAAACGGGGTGAAACATTTTATGACCAAATATAAAATGTGTAGGGATGAACTAAAGTTTCCGAAAGGAATAAGGGATGACAAGAGAAGCTGTGCACTCTTTGATACAGTTTACAGACTATCAAATAAAAGAATCAACTTTGATAATTATAAAATATACTCAGAAGGGATCATAAAAAAGAATTTCCCAAACAATAAACCAAAAGAAAGGAAAAACAAGATAATTGAAACTGTAGAAGAGGTTACCAAGACAGCAACCTTCTTGGTCATAATATACCTTTCATTATTTGGGGAACATAAGAACACAATATTAACAACAGATGAAATTGAAGATATCTTATGTGTATTTGCAGAACTATGGGAAGCTATTCATGATATCTGTAGCCACCCAGAACTGACTCAAGAATTTGATTGGGTTTCTGAGATGTCACATTTATTAAAAACTGGAAAAACTTCCAACATTGTTACAAACAAAAGAACTTGCAAAGACAAAAGTGGTGTCTACAAAATTGCCTGGAATTTTGTTGAATATTGGACAAGGAGAAAAGGGAAAGTGGTCAAACGTGGCCTGTCAAGGAAAAAAGACTGTCATCACTTTTTTGTCACTTTGATCAACAAGATCATCTTCTCCTTGAATTATGAGGATATCATAAGAGTTTTGAAGTAAATTATAACAAGTAGAAAAGAATTATCCCAAAAAAAACTCTCAATTCACAATAGGGGGTATCAAATATAGCAAATCCACCATTAGTAACCAGTCACTTTTCCCAAAACTTATTTTTGGAATCAAAGGGCCTCAAAAGGGGTTAAATGAATAACCAAAATGTTTAAAAAAGGGTGGTTTTTTTCAAACCAGTCAATTAAATAATGGTGGATTTGGTTATATGTGATACCCCCTAATGAAGACCTTAAACTAGTTCTATTTATGATCTAAACACTGTCTTATCAAAAACTCCTGAATCCAAAATGTTATAAGACTCTTCACATTGTTATCTTCTTTGCATGAACTGTTCAACAAATGCTTATTTCCTGACAATGAGATGCTCTAGCAATCAAGTTTATTTTCTGATTCCAAGCAACCCCTTGCCCCATTGCAGAAAAATAGAAATCACAAAAAGGTTTAGAGATTTCCAAAACATGAATCTTTTGGGTTCAATTATTACAGGGAATCCTCTTGACTTGGTCTGATTCAAGATATTCTAGTATCAAATCAGCACTTCTTCACAGCTTTAAGTCAGAATGAGTAGGTAAAATATCTGATGGTTTTGGGAATTTATGCAGTTTTTTGAGTGTTACGGTGTTGCAAGCTCACCTTGGCACACACCAAATTTCTTCTGAAAAAGGCAAGGTGTACTGGTTCAAACATAAAGCTCCCTATTAAAATTAACACACAGAATCCCAGCTTTAAATATTCCAAATTTGACAGTGGTTGATACAAAATCAAGCAAGGGTAACAAAGTATTTTGAATTAACTTAAAAATCATCTACACCTCTCCCTCTCTCATTGAACACAAAAAATCCAACTGTCTCCCTGTCTACTGAAATCACCAAAACCTTAAACCAATGAGTTTAAAACAGCTCAAACCCAAACCAGACTCCAGCTACCTTGATTGGTGCTGGGTCCTTGATATCCACTTTCAAGGCTAAATCCTCAACCCCAATGAACACAAATCCAAATCAGCTATTGCCAAACATCCTAACTCAATGCAGTATCTTTCTCCGTACTGCATGGATTTCCTGGTCCAACTCATACACTCCAACTTTGTGTCTTTCAAGTTAGGTTCTAGAGAAAGTTAAAAATATGTTATAACTTTTGTCAATAATTTTTTCAAAGGATGTTTCCATTTTCCCCATGAAATCCAAATATTAATCATTCTCTTGCTTAAAAACCTTCTGTGCCTTCATTGAGAAAGATGGAAGATTCAGAATTCAAGCACTTTTGGCCATTAAAAGTGGTGAATATTTCCCAAACAAGTTTTTCAACTGGCAAAGTTCTCCCTACTCTGCCACATCAAACAGTGTAGATGAGCGTACTATCTTTACCATAAGTAATCTTGTCTGCTGGGTACTGGTGGGAGTCTTTTTCCCAAAATTCTTCTGGCTTAATAATCATCATTGTCAAGCTCAAAACACCCAGTGAGATTATCAATCTTCTATGGCCATCAAGACCCCATGTTACTACTCAAAATTTCTCAAGGAAATTCATTGGATAGGATGAAGAACTGATGAGATCTGTCACTGAAATCAAATAGCTAGAACAGATTCAACCCATCTTATTGCTAGGTCAGTATATAATAATTCTTTGCAAGGCAAAGAAAAAGGAAACCCCTCAGATCCAAGAATGGCAATCTTAATCAAACCACTACAAGGATACCACAACAAATATTCTCATACAGAATCACTGTGCCCTCACATCCATCCCCAACTATCAGATTGTGCAAGTATTCTTTCTTTTTTGGCTCCAATATCAACATAAGATTGCACAGTTGTCAGTAGCTATATACTACAGGAACAATGAAGTAAAAATGGACAAGAAAATAACTGAGGTTTAAGGAATTCCAAGTTCAAATCCTAGCTGTTATAACCTGCTGGAATGAGATTGATGAAAGGAATCAACAGATTATGATTTGACTACAGTAGTATTGGAATAATTAGAAGAGTCTGTTAGACTCACATTGCCAGAATTGGCGGGGGTAAAGGGTCGCATCCACTTGAGCCTCTGAGGTAAGGTGTGTACGCACAGTGAGAGCAATGCCAGAACAGATGCTACAATTGGGTTGCTGTTCACTTTGTAACTCACCTCGCTGATTTAGCTCCCCAGTCTTGAATTTTGCACGACCCCAGTTGGCTAAAAGTGAGCTGAAAACCCATGAAGGGGGTGAAGAAAAGGGGGGATGAAGCCGTATCAGGTTCGGTTGCAAAGAACTGGTCTATTGGTTTGCCATATCCCCACCGAACATAGGTCTTGGCCAAATCAAGTTGAAGATTTAGGAGATGGATCAGATCCATCCGGGGCAGACCGGGTCAAATAATGGCCATACATTTTCCTTCATTGCTTCTAATTCTCTCTGAGAGTCTCCAAGGCTTTCCAGACACTTTCGATCGAAAATGTGCCCAGCAGGGTCATCCGGCTTGCCATATGTGTGCAGTGCGAGCTGCAATTATCAACTCCGGCACACCTCTTGCAATTAGCCGTCGAGCTTCGCACCAATTGAGATACGTGGAAATGATCATCGAAACGTCAATCGAAAAGAACAATGCGACGTTCACGGTGGTGAGCAAGAATCGATACCCTTTCTTGAGAATTCGGATCCTAGATGCTTCATGATGAAACTGGTTGTTCCAAAGCGTATAGCTCTTAATTTCAATGAAATCTATCCCCTCAAAAGTAGCTTGATTGATCCTAGTAAAGTATAGATCTCGATGTGCGGGTTCAAAGATGGAATGACCTTCAACTTTCAGGACAAAGGTAGATGCAATGAATGTATGTAAAGATTGTGATTTGAATGCTGGTAGGAAGGTTTAGCAAAAGGCGAGCGAGAGATAACGAGCGGTGATGAAGGGAGTGAGTTGAGGAGACGCACTTGTGGAAGGAGTAGATGTGATAATAGTAGGATGACTGGGGTCTGGGTGGATCTCAATGTGCGGAAGCATTAGTTTACCCATAACTCGAGCTGTTGAGAGGATGAGGAGCGAGTCAATTCTCCACGTCCCTCTTCGCGCTGACCGTTGTCTTCTCCTTGGATTCAGCACCACGTCTCACTCAAACTGGTCCACCAGTGAAGCCAAGCAGTCATCGTTTACCCATTTAATCCAATCAAGTAGATTCCGAGAATTATGGCAACAAGACTATATTGTAGGCCGGGAGAAAAATTCTGCATAATTAGAATAGTCATGTGGATCAACAGGTTCAAGCTGAAGGCAAGAACGCATGAAATGTACTGAAAGAGAGCTGAAATAAAAAGCCTAATTCATAAAATCAATTTCCAGCATCCCAGTCCCTCATGAACTGGCAATTAGCCATCTGGCCCCATAGCCCCACCTTGGGGCAACTTCAAGATACCATTGACAGATAGTGTTGGCGCGCACTAGGCCTTGGCGCCGACAACCAGACGGTCTCCCCCACGCTCGCTGCAATGCAAAATCAGTGTCTCGCTCATCGCTTTGGCAGGTAGGGGGGTGTAGGTTAAGCCATGATACGTATAGGCCGGTCGGCGGAATCCGATATAGGCCGGGCAGGTGATGCTGATGCACTCCGCAGGCCGAAAAGGCGACTAGCATTTGCGACCGTCGGCGCGCTTTATTCATGACATGCATAATATTTGACCTATTGTTGAAGGAGGTGAACTGTAGGCATCTATAATACATACAGGCAAAAAAAGACATCGATGTTTCATCAGAAAGACTTCCAAAAATACTCATTGAATCCCACTATGTATGTACTTGCTTGCCCATTGAAACGAGAGAGTGGAGAACATCAGAAGAAGAAGAACTCAGTCTACAGATGGCCCTTGAAACGCGGTCTCCTGAGGGTGATGTATAAGCACCAGGCCAATAATTTTTTCCCGGGGTACCTATTAAAAAAATGAATCCCATGATCAGGGCAAACGAGAGGCTATTCGACTGGACGCAGCAGCCAACTTGAGGAAGAAAATCAGCAGGATGAAGCTCGGAGTCCAATTCTATCCGATTTTCATTCTGGAATGGGCGGCCTTGCCGATCACGGCCAGCCTGCCTCTGGCCAAGGATATTAATATGGCTGCTCCCAGCCATCCAAAGTACCGATTACCCGACTTGAACGAGAGCCTACAAGACGATGAACAATTGACGGACCAAGCTTCTTGTTTTCTTGACACTCGACCTTCGCCTGTCCAAATACCAACCACACATCTCGGCTCAGAACACGGACAAGCCTCCTCGCAGTTCTCCGCTAGTACCATCCAGGCCGAAGCCATCAATATGTCCATCAGAACTTTTCAAGCTGGCTTCCTTGAACACCGACCCCCATCTACCCCCGTACCAGAGGGAACTCAAGCTGGCTCCAAGGAGAAGGCAGTTCTGTCTGAGCCGTGGAAATACAATCCTGCAGCAGAGGCTCCTTCGATGAAGAGGTTAAAAAGACTTGATGGAAAACAGACAACAGGAAGCCGGGAAGAGCCCAAGAAAGCTTTGCGTATGCTGCTTCCAAAACCAGATTTTGGAGCGAAGGAGGCCCCAGTGTTCTCGCGTTTTCCTGCCACCATCCAAACATATCCGATCCCTTCGACTTCAAGTAACTTTTTCCAATCAGCCCCCCTCAAACGAAAAAAGAATCTGAATCCAGCAGTTGATCAGGCACAGCATTCTAGCTTCATTCAGGAGAAGTTTGAAGGAAATATTTCTGGTTCTGAAGCGAAGCGACTGCAACAGCCCAGGATTCTCCCGGAGAAGAAGAAGGTATACCATCCCCGGAAGATCGCACCAGAGGCCACGTCATCCAAGTCCAAGCGATTGCAATCAAACGTTGATGGACAGACGAAACGGAAAAGAGGGCGCCCCAAAAAGCAAGCTTCAGCGCTTGATGATAGTGACCAGATAGCCGTAGAGAAGCAGAAGAGGATTCGGGACGATGATGAGTTATTCGACCTTCACGATTGGAATTTTATCAGGGAAACTGGCCAGTCAGAACTCGAGAAGAATGAAGCCGTCCATATCAATCCACAGACCGGGTTCCCCAAAGGTTCTCAGCCCAACAGAGTCCTGCAAACCTTGCGAGACGCAATCAGCTTCCAGTTCAAACCCGGGGAGTTTTATATTCCGTTGAACCATGAGAACCAGTTTTTTTCCAAGTGGAGAACCTGGATCCGAAATGAGTTTGTGTTCCCCAAACGATACAGTGATCATTTTATCAGGAAAGGCTTATTTTGGACGATGTATGATAAGATCAACAGCCAAGTCAAATTCGATGGTTATCCGATCTACTCCAATGGGATCATCGGACTGGTCAGTTCGAATATTGAGAGATTCTCCCAAACTTCCCGGAATCCATTACCAAGAGAAAGGATCGAAGCGATCATCAACATTGTAGGGGAGTCGACGAAGGCAGCAACGCTTCTGATCCTGGTGTACCTTTCGATCTTCCGAGAAATCAAAGGAGGTATCGTAAGAAGCGATACGATTGAAGAGATCTTGACGACCCTTGCGGAAGTTTGGAGGTCTGTAGGAGATGAGAACCCATGGAAATTTATTCAAGAGTTCGAATGGGCCAGTGGTCTGCTTGAACTGTTGAGCACCGGCAAGACCTACGACAATTCGACCTACAAAGGATCCTCGGCCAAGGTGATGAACTACAGGGTGGCCTGGGACCTCGTAGAATATTGGACAAAGAGGACGACGCGGGTGGGCAAGGATGGGGTGACGAAGAAGAAGAGATACTTCAGTCGTCATGTGATGGAGCTGATTAATAAGATGGTCTTTTACTTGAACCACGATACAATCATCAAGAGGGTTGAAGCCTACAAACAAAGAAGAGAGAAGAAATTGGCCAGCGGATTATCATGACATCAGGAAGCTTTGACCATCGATGATTTTTCTGGATGATACAACTTATTACTGATCCTGATCTTGTTGTGCTCATTACTTCCAGTTTGCTAATTTATACTTCCGTATAAATATTTATTTAATTTTTTTTAATAATCTTTGAAGAGAGTGTGATATCTATCATGTTATAGCCATCAGCTTTGAGCTCCACAGCGGGAACCCAAAAACTTCAAGTCGCAAGAGTTTGTGGAATGGTGGAAAATGGGTTTCAAAGAATGAATATGAAAAAAAAAAATAATAAAAAACAGGATTTTAAAATTTGTGAAAAAGATAAAAGAAAATCAACTTTTTTTTTGTTTGAGTGAAAAGTGAACACACAGAGGGCAAGTTTGGAACATGGAAAGAATGATTATAAATGGAAAATGTTGCTCCAAAAAAAGTTTGAGCATGGTGGGTGGACACCCTGCAGTCAAAATTAGTAGATTGCAGTACCAGAATGCCACATTTCTTGATTAATGACCCCCTATGAACGGCCCTGTAAGCCCCCTAAGTTTGAAGTTGACCCAGTTTGATCGCTCAGCTTGGCCCCTCTTTGTATGCGCTGGGGTGATCGAAGAAGCGGCGCGTGATTCACAGCAGAACAACAACCACTTCAGACACTGGCATTAAGATGATGAGACTACTCCTACTACTACTACTACTACTCCATCCTACTACTATCCTCACACTCTGGCCGAAACCACAACAGCTGGAACAGGGACAAGAACTGATCAGACTCGCAAACAACTTCACCATCAACTTCAGACCACCCAAGCCAACCACCATCTCAATCGACCTAGCTTCAGCCATCTCAACCACCCTCAACCAGCTCCAAACCGACAACCACCAACCACTGACGACCGACAGAGGAAGAGCGAACCACAAGAGACTGACGACCACCAAACTCAAGCAACTATCGATCGAACTCACACCCAAACCACCAGCCCAACAACACCATCTTACAAGCACTACTACTACTACTACTGGATGTGATCAAGAACAACAACCAATCCACTCAAATATCGACCTCCTACTCTGCCATCATCCATTCACCAACTCAAACTACCACCAAGCAACAACTGCAACACAACCACAATCACAATCACTGCCCTCCTCAACCAGCAATGGCCCAAGTATCGTCGCTGAGATGCAGTACCCACTCAAGGCGCGTGACGAGGCGTATGAGATCAAGATCCAAGCCACCGATCACACCCAGCAAGACTATACTGCACTGCTCTCAGCCAACAGCGCACTAGGCCTCCTACGCGGACTACAGACATTCAGCCAACTAGTCTACACACTCAATCCACCACCCTCCACCAAGGAGACCAAGACCCAGAAACTATCTGGAGGGAACGAGGAACAGGCGGTCAGATACATCCAAGGACCATTACACATCAAGGACCAACCTGCGTTCCCCTATCGAGGATTACTACTAGACACCAGTCGAAACTACTATTCGATCGACAGTTTGAAGAAAACCATCAAGACCATGAGCGCCGCGAAGCTGAACATCCTGCATTGGCACATCGTCGACTCCCAATCCTGGCCGCTCCAGATCCCCTTCCATCCGCAACTCGCCGACAATGGGGCCTACTCCGAGCACGAAACTTACTCGGTCGAGGAGATCATCGAGCTCACTCACTTCGCTAACGCCAGAGGCGTCGAAATCCTCCTCGAAATCGATACTCCCGGACATACCGCTATCATCGGCGAAAGCTTCCCTGAACTAATCGCTTGCAAGAATAAGGCTCCTTGGTCTAATTACGCCGCCGAACCCCGTCCGTCTTCCCCCCCTTTTTTTTCTTGCCTTCTGTTTTCTCACTCAACACCATTTCTTTTTTTTTTGTTGAATCAGCTGCCGGGCAACTTAGAATCGCTGATGATCGCGCACTCGCTTTGGTTAACGAGATCTTCGACTTACTCACCACTCAAATCCCTGGCACATTATTCTCGAGTGGGGGAGACGAAGTGGTGAGCAAAACACTTCAACTAACTGAAAAACACTGAATGACGAGAGTTTTTTTTTTTTTGAACCAAAAACAAACCCCTCTCTCTGACTCAGAACAAGAAATGTTACGAAGAAGATGGCCCAACCCAAGCGAGTTTACGAGCCAAGAATGAGAATCTCTCAGAAGCCTTGACGAAGTTTGTGATGAAGACGCACGAGACGATCAGACGATCGGGGAAAGTGCCGGTGGTCTGGGAGGAGCTAGTCTTGGACGAAGCGATCCCATTAGCCGTCGACCAAACCTTAGTCACTGTCTGGAGGAACTCCTCGATGGTCCAGAAAGTCGTCCAGAAAGGTTACTCGATCATCCATGGGGCCAGCGATTACTCTTATCTCGATTGGTATGCGCTTCTCTCCTTAATCCATTTTTGTCTACTTTGAGAACTCATCTCTTGCTTTTCGTTGCAGTGGACTGGGTGGGTGGCTGGGTAATTCAATCAACGGTACCTCGTGGTGTGACCCGTTTAAAGTCAGTCTATTGGCCATCCATCGATATATATACATGTACTGACTCTTTCTCTTTGACCTTCTGAATAATAGACCTGGCAAAAGGTATAAACCAGATCCTACGCGCGCACCTTCAAAGAGAGAGAGAGAGTCTAAAACAAAATTTGTTTCTATCTTCGGTGATGGTGATGTGTGGGGCGGGGGTGCTTAGATATACTCGTTTGATCCGTACAAGAACGTCGAACAGCACCGACACAAACAAGTGCTTGGAGGTCAGTGTTACTATGTTGTTCAGTTGATCTGTATGTGAAGCTGAAACCATAGGACTTGTGATGTGGATGGATGGACAGGTCAGGCGCTCCTTTGGTCCGAACAGACCGACGAACAAAATATGGACGGGATCATCTGGTCGGTCTTCTTCCTCTCTTCCCCTTCCCTTTTTTTTTCTTATCGTAATCGATCAATCGGTAACAGCTTTATAATGTACTGGGAAAATTGAAATCGGTGTGGGTTCCTGTTAGGCCTCGTGCTTTGTCGACGGCCGAGGTTTATTGGACCGGGAATCAGCATGCGCGGTCGGTTTCTGAAGCGCTTCCACGGATGCATGACATGAGGTAACATCTCTCTCTCTCTTCTTGGAATATGTCTCCCCTAGTTGTTTGATTTTTTTTTCTTCGAAGGAAGCCTCGCTGACGAGTTTTCGTTGACTATCGATGACCGGGATGTATAGATATCGACTGGTCCAACGCGGCGTCAGAGCCGCGCCGCTTCAGCCTCATTGGTGTGCTCTTAGACCCGGCCAATGCGATCTTCCAGCTGGTACTCAAGAGGATTGAACATCTTCCTGTTCTTTTCTTTCCTTATAACACAAGACCAAAAATTTGGACTCGCTTCTCAATTGCTACAAATAAACAGACAACCAACACTATAAAAAGTGGTTCAGTTAGGAGAAACACTCGGAGTTGTCCTTACACAATCCCTTCTCTTAATCTTCCCCTTCCCCTTCCCCTTCCCCTTCCTCTTTTTTTTCACTCACTTTCAAAATCAACTAAATTAACCACAAAACAAAACCTAAAAAAATGTAACCTGATTTGATTGTGTATCTTATTGTTACTATTTATCAAGATATTTATGGTTTTTTTTTTCATTCTTTTACATCTCCAAAACTGCTTGTTTATTTTTGGTGGATTGAGTTGGATTCTCAACTTTTGGGTTTTTAGAAAAACATTCCTTGGGATTGGGAAGGGAAGTCATAAAGTCTACAAATGATGATCAGAGAATATATCAGGAAATGATTGGAAATATTTACATCATAAATCCTTATCTTTCTAGGAAGAATGTTTGCCCTCATTGATCTTGAAGTGTCTCTTTTGGTGAATTAGATTAGTATAGAGTGTGTTGGGCAAGAATAGACAGTGTGTAATTTTATAGACCAGTCTGATCAGAGAGGCTTCTTGGCCATGATAAAAACTCACTGTTTAGTGGAACACTAGGTGGTTTGTTATGAGGCAGGATGTTATAAGTGGGTTGGGTAGATCAGATGTGCAACAGTCCCTCAACCGTTCTGGTTGGGGTGGCCCAGGAAGCTGACTGTGAGCTGATCATTCATGTGTTCAGCAAAAGCCACACCGTTTGCTTTCTTTGACTGTCAGTCCACTCATGACCCACCACCCCTGTAGGCCAAGACAGCAATATGCAAAACTGCAAACTACCCAGGCAAAACAGAGCTTGGAATCAGCTGCAGTGATCTGTGAGCATATCCATATAATCCCATCCTCCCATAGTATTAGTCCTGACTCATTCTCATCCTTTCATCTTAAACTGCAATAACAGCACCAATCAAACCAATAAAAACTCAATCTTCTTCTTAGTGGAACAAGTTGCTGTTCTGGTGAGCTTCAATATTCTCTCTTCAGTTTACATTCCAATCTAGCTAATATAGCCAATATGCTTATCTTCAGTTGCTGACAACGGGGCTGAAATCATGGGAAATGCCAAAGAACCATCCATTAGGAACGGTCTAAGGTGTGTAAGATGAGATTATCAGTTACCTTGGCTATTTTTTTTTTCAAGTGCTATTGATTTCACATACCGCACTATAGTGTATATCATCTGCATGTACAAAAAAAACCCGTATACAAAAATGGGCAAAAAATTATCTGTATTTTATAAGTGCCTAGTGTTTTGATGACTACAGTGTGTTTAATCCAGTGGGTAGAAGAAAAGGAGAGAGAAAGAAAATAAGATTTGCAACATAAAGAAATCACAGTTTCCATTGGCTCCTCTTGTGGCTTTGGATTTCTTGTTTCATTAGTGGGCAAGTATCAGACCATGGGGAGAGAGAGAGTTTTTCATCTAATGTATTAACTGCTTTCTTTGATACAAGTTTGTCATGTGAAATGCAGACACAGCAAGTAGAGGGAGAAGGTGTTGATAGGTCACAAGCTGAAGAAGTGTGATTGCCATGGGATTTGTGACAAAGTGGAGAATTTTTACACCGTTGAGAAGTGTGGCCAAGTTTCCAACAATTGAAGCATTTTGGGATTTATCGTTCGTAATCTGTGCCTCGATATAGTTTGTTTTGTAAAAATAGGCCTGACTGTTGTAAGACTCAAAAGTGGTTGTGAAGCCCTTTTGCTGGATGGAGAAGGGGATGGTGGAGTTGCAAGCTCTGCCCTTCTATGCTATCAGAACAACAAGACCACCAAGCTCAGCTTGGAAGTTGGCAGTTTATATATTGTGATAGAGGATAGTTTGAGATGAAGCTGTCGAATGATTCGTATAACGGTTCAAGTTGATGGTGATTGTTGGTGATGATGTTGATGTTTATGAGGTTATTGTTGGTAGAAGTGGTGATGGTAATATTGTTGAGAGTGTGTCTTGAACGCAGGTCCTTGAGGTTGATGGTATATAAAGTTAAAAAGAGGTGATTTGGAACCAAGGCGCTGGGCACTGGGAGCACTATACTTCAACCAGGAATGGAACGGAGGACCAGGCACAGGTGGAGATAAGGTGGAGTTAAAGTGGAGTTAAGGTGGAGTTAAGGTGGATGTCTTGAATGGGAATTGAACCCAGGTCCTTGTGGTTGGGGTGTATAAAGCCAAAAAACAGTAGATTTCAGGCAAAGGTGAGATAGGTACTAATTATAAACATTTTTTTTTTTGGATTTCAGCATTTTTTATTTGAAAAGTTTTTGAAAAAGGAAAAGAAATCAGAAAGAAATGAAAAAGAAGTTCAAAAATTATTCAAAACAGACTCAAAAAATTTATGCAGTTTTAAACTGGACCGGCCACGGCGGTGTGGGTGCATTTTCACACACAATCTGCAGGGATCTGGCTGCCCTCCAGACGTCTCAACAGGGGCGGCGCACCAATGATGCTGACACGACCGAGTCAATTTGCTCACAGGTGGTCTCTTGTCTGGGGGGGAAACATTGGACTTGGGGGTTTATTTCTCTCTCAACAACAACTCAGCTCTCTATCAACAACACCTAGGCACTCTATGAACAAGGACTAGGCAACTAGACATCTGCAATCTACAATAATGATCCCAAGCAAGCTGTAGGTCGAGTTCGTGAGAGGAAGATAGGAATGTAGAGCGAGGCTGGCAGTGCTGAGTAGGTTACCGGATGTGTGCTCGCTGGAATCCATTGAGGTTTGGCCTTGGTTGTTGGCGGCTGGGCTGGGTTGATTTTTCCTTTAGATGGAGGCAGTCGGACCAGTCAGGCAAGGATGTGGTGGGAATGGATTGGTATCCACTGTATCCACTGTGTGCGTGGGCTGCTGTGTGATTTGATACTATACAGTCAAATGTCGACCAAAATCCTGTATTCTCTTCGGAAACAAAGTTTTTGAGATCTCAAACCACCTCCGCAAGTGGTTTGAAAGTTTTTGAGTCAGTTTTTGAAAGAAAATAGAAATGAAAAAGAAATGAAAAAGAAGTTCTAATACTTTTGGAAAACTTTCAAATATATTTCGAAATATTGTTTATAATCAGTTCCATAGATGAGTGGTTATGAAAAAAAGTAATGTTGATATTTCTACACTATAAGTAACTGTTATAATATATATAAGGGGTGTTATAATTGTAAAACCCCAGTATTAGGTAGCTAATAGTAATGAGGAGTGACCAGTGATGTAGTGTTATGGGGGGACTGACTACAGAGCATCTGATGAGGAGGGAATACAACTGGCAGGCAGAGGCCTCCTTATATAGGCAAAAGTGAGGGAATTTAGCTCCAGGGTACAGACTTTGAGGCATTTTAGCTGGCCTGAAAATACAATGAGGGAATTTAGCTAGTCTAGTGCATGCAGGTGAGGGAATTTGGCTGGTGAGAGCACAGCCTTGAGGGATTTTAGCTAGCCTACAAGGTCCTACTACAAAGGAATGCATGTGCACCTACAAAGGAATTCAATATGAAATATGAGCTAATAAAGGAATTCAATATGAAACAAAGGAACTCAATATCCAATATGCATCCAGTATTCAAAATGAGCTATAGTCAGAGTAAAGAATCCAAGAGACATCCTGTGACAGGTTGAAATCTGTGTAACTTCTAAACTATGTGAGATAAGGGGGTAGTTGCAGTGGGTGACTAGGGGTTATTTTAACTCAGGAACCCATTTTTGATGTTACTTTACCTTATATCTGATGTAGAAAAAGATGAGAATAAATTTTGAAATCTTTGGCATAGAAACACAGGAATAACTACCACACCATTTGATTTTCAGTGCAATGTCTTTATCTAGCAGTTGAAGTACCAGTGAACCGTTCTTCTCTCATTTTTCTATTGGGCTTCCAAGCCATTGAGCTGATTGAATCAGGTTTGGATCAATCTGGTTTTGTGTTACTAGCTCTTGAAGGTGTAAAGTATCTGTTGGGTTAAAGTTAGTCGGGATTGTATGCAAGATAACGGGATATTGGTTAGGGAAAGTTTTGAGATTGGTGCAAAGCAAGTCTGTCCACTTGTGTTTGTTGTTGAGCAGCCACCGTGCATTTGATTGCAAACTCGTATAGATCTTCAAATCTTTAGAGGGAAGTTGTGCAATGCCATTAATTTCAATTTGGTGTGAGTCGACTTTGGCATCAATAGAAATCAAAATCTTATTAATCTTAGTTGTAATGTTTGTTGCTGTCACCGAATCTAGCGCAACAAACCCAGGCGGAGTGCGAATTACTAGGCTAGATTTCTTGAATTCATTTATTTGTGTGTTCAAATTCAATGGTATCAGCGGTGGGCCGCTATGCTACACTACGCTGCAGGCCCATGTAGCGTTAGCGTAGCGGCGCCATTTTTTTCGTGTAGTGTTAGCGCGCCACTACTGCCGCTGCGCTGTGGTATACCTTAAGGGTATCCATCTGGCCCATTTAAAAATTTTACAGTTTTCTTTTATTACAACTTACATACTTTTTACACCTTTTTTCTCATATATACACTCACAAATCATCTATTATGGCTCAAGAACTGGATTCTATGGTCAATTTCACCCTTGGTTGCCACTGGAGGCGTCACTGGAACTCAACTGGATTGGAAGCTACACCCTCTGGACCATCACTACACTCAATTACACAACTCACCACCATGGCAACAATTCAACACTCAACAACACCAACAAATTACATAACTCACACTATACATATGTACATTGCAGGACAACTACATACACTCTCACACCATTATAGTACATGTATACACACCACTCCACTATCTTCTGACAGTTGACACATGCAGTGTTGGTCTGGTACCACTCTGGATTTACAAGTGACATCATGCAGGTTGTCATGTCATTTGTTAATCTTCCTTGCAGCTGCCAGACTATCTCACACCACTCATGTAATATTCATCACCTTGCCTTAGCTTGCAGACTAGTACATCATCTCATGTAAAATGCTTCACCAGCATAAAACCCCTCATGTAGACTTCTACTTCAAGCTAAAAATAACTCTTATGACATCATGTAGGTTGCTCAACCAGCCAAAAATACCTCATGTACATGTTTCTGACTAGCTAAATCCCCTCATTGTAAAAGCTCTGGCCAGCTTGAAATCTCTCATTCTCTTGTTCCCTCTGGAAGCTAAAATCTCTCACCTTTGTGGAGTTTAGAGGCTCTCCTCTCAGTTGTTTTTCCCCTCAGTTTAGTATCCACTATTTCATACCCCCTACCTTACAAACCCTTACATACCATTACATACCATCCCCTTACCATTGAAATATCAGCTAGACTCACTCTCTCACTCTCAAATCAACTTTCTAGACCCTTATAAAACTGGGTTAAACCCTTTGTCCACCTGTTAAGCCACAGTTATCTTTTGATACACTCCACTATCACTTTATTAAACCTTCCAATCTGAGATTGGTGGGCTTGTCTAGTGTCTAGTGATCCAGGAAAGGCAGAGGTATCCTCATTCATCCCTTTCCACACTCAGAAAAAGGTTTTCACAAACACTTTTGAGCTTTACAGCGCTACGCTAACTTGTAGCGGCGCTAACACTAGCCAAATTTTGGTGTAGTGTTAGCGCACCGCTGGCGCCGCTAAGCTGCGTTACGCCAAAGGAAAAATGTATTGGTGGGCCTGGCTGATATAAAATCGGTCAAGGAGACCAATGTTATATCGGTTGCCTCAGGGCGACCTTATCGTGGGGGGTTGCAACCAATACAACCCCTTTCGCCGTGAGGTCATATGATGTAGCCTCCACATGCTTACTACAGCTTAGTCTGGGCCATTGGTTAGGTGCAGCTAAGTCTGGATCAACACTGAGGAGATGCTAGGGGCCAAGCTAGTCAGCGACACCAGCTGCTAGTGATTGAAAACTCAGTATGTATATATAAAAACAACTCAGTATGTACATATTTATAATCTAATCTTAGTACATGTGCATGCAATATCAAAGTAGGATTGGAGCTGTATAGAGCTGGATTGGAGCTGGAAGCAAAGTTGCATGATGTCACTTGACATCAGGTGACTATTGTTTTTTCCTGGTGCCTCAGTTCTTGGTCCTCAAATTTAATCATAAAATCACCCTTATTTTATTCCAATACACTCATAACACTTTAATATTATCATCATCACACCAAGTGCCCTGTTCCCGGTTCCATTCCTGCTTGAAGCATAAGTGCTCCCAATCCCATCACCTACACCTTGTTTCTCAATCACCTCTTTTGTAACTTTATTCACCCTCAACTTCAGGACCTACATTCAAGCCTCACTCTAAACAATATTATCATCAACTCTTCTACCAACAATAACTTCATCAACATCAAAATCATCATCAACAATCAACATCGACTTTATCTGTTATAAATATCAGTTGACAGCTTCATCTAAAACTATCCTCTATCAGAATATATATACTGCCAAGGTAAGCTTGGTGGTTGGTATTTTTGTTGTGATAGTATAGAATGGAAGAGCTTGCAACTACACTATCTGCTTCTCCATTCAGAAAAAGGGTTCTCACAACCAATTTTTAGT